ATCTGAGTCGATTGCTAAGGGCCTGCATGGTGCCCGTAAAGGCAAAAGATGTCTGGGCATTTCATACGTAGTGTTAAGGGTGTTTGCTAAGGGTGTTCATGCTAAGAGTGTTTAGACACAGCCGATATGTAGAAATGGGGGAGACGACACTATACACATTTAGCTGGACATTAACTTCAAGCATGGACCTCTGGGAATTTGATTTCCCAGAGATCAAAAACAAGAATATCGTAAGTGATTAATTGGAGGGACTAGTGAGGGTACTTTTAATTTCACTGTCTGGCCACCGTATATGCAGTTTTATTGCCCCCCTGCCCCTATCAATCACTTGTGATGTTGCTGGAAACAAATTATGCATGTGGTTCAAGAAGGCTTGTTGTGGAAACCTGAGCTAGTATGATGTTGCGAAGATGATAACATTGCAGGTATTGGACGAAGAGTCTGGGTAAAAAATGCTGCGTCTGTAAACGTCAATGTACTGGAACAAGCAGTTAAAAGTAAGAATGAAGCATCTTTAACTGGAAACGGCCTATGACTGACAGTAAATGTGACCGGAACAAAGAGTTGGAGGATTAATTAGGCACTCCGGTCATCTTTGTGCTTTTTCATTGTGTCAAGTGCATTGTTTTATTTAACTTCAGTTCATATCAGCACGACAAAGTCACCGCTAACTTTCGCATCTTTAATGCTACTTGAGTTCAGGTTAACAAATGTGAAAATTATGAGGTCATGTAATGACCTTATTGCACTATTCATCACGTCTTGGCGAACACTTGTTGGTCTGGGATTACTCATACGGTGCTGGGAATGTGGACAAACACATTAGTATTATTTTTTTTCTTTAAATCCAAGAAAACAGTGAGAGTCACACTTTCTAATCCATTATTTGCCTTTGTTGCACTTGAAATATGAAAGTTCATCAATTCAGTAAAAAGAAAGTGCCAGCGTATCATGACTATTGGTGAAGGTGTTCTCTTACTGCGGTCACATGAGTTTGGATAGGGCAGGAGGGTTGCTGTCCACTTGGACAGTGTGATATATATTGTCGACAGTATGATATATATTGTAGTATGATGTATAAGATGGCTGTATAGTGCAGCGGATTGAGAAGTAATGTTTTGTCATCAGGCGTATGTAACACACTTTACAGAGGCGTTAATTTTTACAATGTCATTTATATATACATAAAATAATAGGGGTCTCGGGATACGGCCTTGAAGCATAGCTGCTGAAATTGCTTGTAAATTGGAGGCATGATTGTGAATGACCACCACCTACTGCTGATACTTTAATTAAGGTTCAATCAATTTAAGAAATACACCTTGGAAGCCATAGGGGCTGCATATCTGTAAAAGTGTCACATGATTTATGGTATTGAAAGCCTTTTATGTAATCTAAAAAGATACTTGAATGTGCGTAGGTCGCATTCATCTAATATAAATTCCTTCTGCTCTTGGACGGCATGCTCAGTTGTGCTGCTTATCGTTAAGCTGAATTTGAATTGTAAAGAAGTGATAATGTGCTGCTTATGTAAAAAAGGAAATCGCACGCTTTAGAGTCTTTTTTTTTATATGACTGGTAGTATAGATGTAGGCTTGTAATTTGGAAAGGATCTTGTCTTTTCTAGAACACCGTTACTTTCCTTTTATGCTTCCCTTTTCTTACTGCTCCCACGGCATCAGCATATGTAAAAAAAAAAAGAAATCAAGTATATCGAATGTTTTGATGAGGCATTAGGTGCAAGAACATAGCAGCCAAACAGTTAAAGAGGTGACTATGCATTGAACAGGTTATTTGGTGATTCAACCCTAATTCCACTGTCGTAAACTCATCTGGACTCTCAAAGGGAAATGATAGTTATAAATATTAACGGTGGGACATGGCCATGAAGTAGTGCAGTGCTCTCCAAAGATTAAAACTTCAAAGGATGAGAAGCAATCATCAGCCATATTATTTGACTGCTGGTCTACTGCTGTGAGTTTCTGTTAAATTGACATTTCGCCTTTGTTATATTGTAATCAAAACTAATGACCTGCTTCTTTTATGATGCTTCATTTTTTGAGACTTGTTAATTGCTGGCACTGCATTCTGCTAGATAATCCCATCACCTAAGGGTCAGAAATCGCTTTGAATAACCATATATGGAGCTAAATTTTGCGAATTTTACATAATTGACAAAAGTTATGAATATTTCTAACTATTTACGGTAAGAAACACTTTCTTTGCCTAAAATATTTCTTGAGCTTGTACATGTAATTTCAAAGGGGCCCTGCAACACTCTTTGAAGTGATCATTGAAAAACCTTATTATCAGGCTCACCAATCTACTGCAGCAAAATTTTTGGAATCTGCCAAGTAAGAGCAGAGAGTCAGGGTTTCATTTTCTCTCTCTTTTTTTCACTGAATATGTTACTAACTTCCAGAGGGATCACGAGTGTCCTGGTGTAATTTTATATTGTATGTAATTCTAGCACCAGAAAGCGCGGTTTAGCATGTAGTGGCTTGTCACATTATTTGTTGAAAAGGGGGCAAGTTATTTCCAGCTGACTTTACAATTAAGTTAAGAGTTCCGTGCTGTGTGCCTCACTATAGTGTTTTGGCTCACGTCTTTGTTGGAGCTTTGACTATCTATCAGCAACATTTTCGAACCATGTTGACTAAGTGTCGCAAGGCCCCTTTAAGCTGGCCAGGTGATTTTTACTGATTATATTCCAGGTGCTATGAGGGCTTATGCTAGTGCTGCCCTCTCATAAAGTAGCTTTTGCAGGTTTAAAGTCAAATGTGATGGCATTGTGTGGGTTACCCACCTACAACGTACTCTTTCTCTTATCGTCAACTTCCTTTTTCCTTTTTTTTTTGCAAAGATTACGCAGATGTTGCACCCTCTGTGGCAGTTGTCAGCACGTTATATATGTTTGTAGCATATTCATGAAATAATAATAATAATAAAGGAAATACTGATACCTTGAAAAACAACTTTCTAATGTAAAAGTGCTGCCCATTTTATATGCTTCATTATTATGAAATTTCACAGATATTAAAAGTGACAATATAAAATTTTAATCTTGAAAATTGTTTTTTTTTTCTCGGTAATATTTCTCGCTGTACATGTTGTGGCTCGGTGCACCCTTGTCAACATCTCATGCAAACTGTTGCTTTGCTGGACGTGACAGTTTGAGCTTATCTCGGTCTCGTTTGCCCTTCGGCCTATCTGGCTGCCTAAGGCAAACTGCCGTTATGTGCCATTGTCTCTCCACTGGGATTGTCTCTCAGTTTATTTGTGAGCAGCCAGTCTAGGCTGTTTTTGTTCTTGATGTTTAGCGGACCTTGAAGCCGGAGCAGGTGGGCTGTCAGTTCAGTGATGCTTCCTTAATAACTGAGTTATTCTCACTTGGTTATCACCAACTCGTGAAGTCTTTTATTGCCATACTGCTTGCTCTTCAGTGATTGGTTCAATCTTCTTTGCTCCACTTGGTGCACTCCATAGGTGATGCCATTATGACAATAGTAAAAACGTTCTGAAAATGTTGCAGTTAACTTTGCGGGAAAAGGTTAGGTTATCAGAGAGATGATGTAACGAGCCATCGTAGCTGATTGTGAAAACTATGGCATAGCCAAAAAAACAAACATGGTTGAAACTTGGCCTGATGTACACTTGTATTTTCTTGAAGGCCCAAGTAGGTTATGCTGGTTGGAAAATTAAAAATGCGGGGAAATTGTGATGGAAAGCACAAGGCAAGGTTTTACTGCTTCACGTGCTTCTGGTTAGCTACGTTTCTGTGAAAATAAAACCTTTTCTTATTCTTTTTCCTGTTTCTTGTTTTTTATTTGTTAAAATAATGAGTAGAGGGTGGAACTTGTAATGCACTTGTTATTAAAGGGCCACTCACCAGGTTTGACGATTTTGAGCTGACAAGCGCAATGCGTAGACGAGGCGTTCATGATCACGTCTGCCGAAATTTGCAATGCTACGCGCCGCAGAAAAGAGTCAAATTTCGAGATCAAAGCTGCTCCCCCTCTACTCTGCCGGAGCACGCGTAGAGAATGAGGGCAAGACGTGGGCGTAGGAATAGCCCTACGACTATGACTTGATGAGAAAATTATTTAACACAATATGCGTAGTTTATGTATTTGTTGCTTCAAGAGATTAATAAAACTTCGTATAAATAATGAGACACAATAAAAAACTGTGCGCGTTTTTCTTTCATTTTTTCCCTTGAAATGCTACGAGATGCGGGGCTAATGTGCTAGTGTTTCACATCCGTTCGTGTCCCCGTGGTCAGCGCATTGAGCAGACGACCACTGTCGAATGCTCCTACGCGTTCGCGCACTCATTGTGCTCATCAACTCTACCGCGTTTAAGCCAGCGTTTTCACACCATCCCGCAGAAGCAGGCAGAAGACCACAAAATAACGCTGGTCAACAAAGCAACGCTGCTCGTGTGCTCGGGGGTTGGACTTGTTTGGGCACGTCATGCACACGTCATGTCATGGTGGGATGCTGGAGAGGGTGGGGAAGAGATTTGGCTTGGAAAGGCTACGGGGAGGAGCGGCAAGGGTTTCGAGCTCACCTCCTTCCATCCTCCTTTCGCACCGCTTCAAAAAACCTGTTATCTCCGCTCATGATGAACCGATTCGAAAAATTTTTGTGGCAAAATTTTCATCATCGGACACCCAACAAATTCCACTGTCTAACTAAAATTCGGTATGGGGCCTGGGGAGTGGCCCTTCAAAGTTATTATTGGAGCATTATGTCTGAACATTATTGGAACATGACCATTATTGTGAAGGCATGCTAAAGAAAAAAAATTATCGGTTGTTGTCATGGCTTGCTTGGCACAATGATTTCCACATATGTTTGTTCTCTTTATTTCAAATATATAGTTTGTCATCATTCTTTTCATTTAAGAGTCTTTTCATTCGTGGCCAGGTGCTTCTCAGTGGAACCTACTGATTTCCCACTGCTTATACCTTGAATACACTTCTTGGGGTCATGCTGCAGGTCGGTGCCATCCTCTTGGCAGAGCAACAATTGTGAAGTTCTGCCAAGATGCTCACAGCCTTCAAAAAGCTGGTGGGCAACAGCGGCGATGGCGGAGGGGGCGCCGCTGGTGGAGGGAAGCACCAGCCTCCATCTGGCATGCAAGCCATGGAGCAAAGCCTGCAAAAGCGGTTTGCACGAGGTGTCCAGTACAACATGAAGATCGTCATCAAGGGGGACCGCAATGTGGGCAAGTCGTGTCTCTTGCTGCGCCTGCAGGGCCAATCATTCAAGGAGGAATACCTGCCCAGTGACGAGATTCAGGTGACAAGCTCACTGTAGCTTTTGACTTGCTTTGTGCTGAATTTAACATTCATCCATGTAAAAGTTCTGCTTGGATAGAATCCTGCATCGCATTTTCATATTTCTTTTATTTTTAAGTACAAGTATTGTTGAAGAGCAGTCTTCAAAAAATGCCAGGCCTGTGCATAAGGCGCAGCACATTCACAATGAAAGCTTGAAGAGAGGCCTTTCAGAGCCTTTTCTAAACACTCATTGGGCAACTACTGCAAGCAAACTTGCTTGATACCCAGTACGGCATTATTTATAAAATTTTTGGGTAGAAGGCCGGCATTCACTATGCTATTTTTCGTCATTCTTCTGAGAAGCGTGGTATCCGCTGAACACTTGCGAGTGATTTTGTGTCAATGTTTTGTGCAGTGGCTGACGACGATGAGGAAGTATGCCTGAAGTTGGTATGTTCCACAGTTATTAGGTGAACAAGAACAAGCTTTTGTAATGGATTGGAGCATTGGATGACCCACTCGTTACGCTATTTGCACTGTGCGACAACAAGTTCTTCTTTCACTGTTTTAAAACGCTTTATAAGTCGTATTAACGCGATTCCATTCCCGACATCTAGCCTGCCTAAGGCAAGTTCGCCAACAAGTCCCAAGCATCGGCGTAGCTTAGTGGTAGAATACTGGGCTGGCACCCTGCGGACCCGGGTTCGAGCCCCACTGTGACATTGGTGCTAGGTATTTTTTTCTAATTTTGTGCGATGTGGTTACGGACACTCGTGGCGACGGCGGACAACTACGGTGGCACGTGACCCGAGTTGTAATCTCATAACAGCTTTTGCTGTAATATTAGCTTTGATCAGATTTAGTGAGGCTGATTGGACTGTTGAGTGGGTTACTTTTTATATTTCTATAAGCTTCTCATTTGTAGTTCACGCAGTTGTTGTTTTACAGCTTCGTTGCTTTTGTAGAGGAGCTAAACATATACAGGTGAACAATATGAAAAGTAATGCTACACTGGCCATGACACAATTTAACTGCTGAGCCCTCTGTAGGGAAACAGTTGCATTCCTTGCAACACCTTTATCCCCTCTCATATTTACTTGTATACTAAAGTTTTCGTCTTTTTATATGGTCTTTTTTAAGGTGGGTGCCATCTCATTTCTGAAAGCAGGTCTTCATAAAACAACAGACAGAGTTTCATGCCGGATTCTGCTACGAGTGGCAACCAGTGTCATTCGTGTTAATTTATTATGTAATGCTAAAAGTAGCCAAGTATGCAACCATGTTCTGAATTTTAGTTTTTAAGATATTCTTATAAAATTGCCAAGTGGATTTTTTAAAGATTTAGACCCCCTGAAATTTCGATGCTGTGTTTTTGTTGAAAAGTGAACGAATCGAATTCTGTGTTGTTGGCATTCTTATGTCCATGGGAACATTGCTCCCTGATGTAAGTGCATATGTGGTTTTTGAAACTTGCCAAACCATAATACATTTCTGGCATTCAGTATATATGTGATATAGATACTGAGTCTTTCAAGCTACTTTGTGGAGCAAACTCTTTAAGAACATGACTCTTTAGTGTTACCTTGCATTGTTGTCCTTAGTGGAATCTGACCTTTTAATCATTTCATTGCTAGGTTTTTTTTTTTCCCTGCTCTTCACTATCTGCAAGTTATATTATTATTTTTTTTTCGTGTTATGTAAAACTTTTGTGTTACCAATACAGTAGGATGTTTATGAGGACATGTAAACATTTTTTTGGAGATTATATTATTAAATGTAAAGTAGCACTTGTAAATTAAGGTTAACGATAAAATTACAAGCAATGAACTAATTAACACAGTAACATAATTAGCCACCATTTCACAGTGGCTGAGCGGCTGATTATTCATTTTACGTATACAGAATGTGAATTTAACAAGAGCTTCTTGGATTCCTTCATCTGTCGTATAGCTCGGCACATGGCACTCTGAATCGCCACGGCTGTGTTTGGGAGACTGGCAAAAAAACTTCATTTGACGATCATGTGGAAGCATACGCTCCACCTGTATTAAAATATTTCACAACTACTTATATTTATTTATATGTTTTTGTATATATGTTCTCTTCATAGACTGCAGGACAAGGCTGCATTATTTTTTTTTTGTTCAAGAATTGTCCTATGAGCAGCAGAGAGTGTTTTAAAGAAGTGAAACAGTGCGTATATGCAGGATTGACAGGGCTTGTGTGTCAATTATTGCCGGAGAGCTCAAGCCTATTGACACTTTTTACGTCATACATTTCTTGCCATAGTAACGTTATGGAAGGATGCAATGGAATGGCATGTTTCTTTTTCTCTGGCCAAATTTAACATGATACATGGCTCTTTATGGATTCTCAAAAGTCTTTGAACTGTCTATGAGGGCTTTTAAAAACCACATTTCACCTAATTTTGACTATGCGACTTTCTGGAACATTTAGTTTTGCACTGCAGGTTCTTGTACTTTTATCATGAAATGTTCTTCTAGCTTACAAGAGTGGAAGCTTGAGCTAGTTAGTGCGTAGTCATATTTGTGAGTTTTTTCAGTGTGCGAACATAAGGAAAAAAGGGACAGAGTAGACAAAAAGAGCATTGCATACCCTGTCCAAAAACAGCGCTCTTTTTGTCTACCCTGTACCTTTTTTTCCTATGTTCTTCTAGCACTGCTTTTACTGGGCATTTGAAAGATTTCAGTTTTCCTGTGAAGCATTGGAATTGAAAAAGCCTAAGATTAGCTGTAACCTGTCTATTAAAGTTTACAGAGATGAAAAGGTGAAAAGAAAGTTATCATATTCAAGCAATGCATTTTTCCTAGCTGAATTTGCCATGGCTAAAACTCCTACCATGATGCAGAAAAGTAATTTGTGTATTTGTATACGACATTGTTACTTTGGCCTCTTTGCATGATCACTGGTAGATCACTTTAATGTTGCAGTAAAAAAGTGTTCTGGCCCTCTTGATACTCTTGGTCAGTAGACTTGCACTCCAGTGCGAACGTACACAATGATAACTAGAAAAAGAAAGGCCATACCCATTTTGTATTTTCTGTATGCGTCCAAATGCATTCCCTAACTCCAGTGACCGGTGCATATCCTCAAATAATTACATACTAGATGTTTTCTGTGAAAAACTGGTCATTTTTTTTTTCTCTGTTTTCTATGCTGGTAAATCAATGTTTCTCAGTAATAAAGGGTGCCTTCTTAGCTTATCTTAAAAAGGTAGCAAATTGGCCAAGTTAGTAGTTTTCGATAGTACTAAACTGTGCAGCACAGTACACTTGTCCTCATTCTTTCAAATCTTCAATCTAGTTTTATTCTACAAGACCCAGTACTTATTTTCAAAGGCCCCAATTTGTGATGCCATGTTGCAAGTCTGTCTGGAAACACATTCATGTAATAATTGTTACAAGGCGTCTCTGTAGCAATGGACATTCATAAGTGTCACAATGTTCTCGTAGACTATTTATTTGGAGCACTCAATATTGAAGTGAAATTAGTGCACCAGTCACAGAAAGTGGGGCTATCAGCATGTTTTTGTCACCACTGACTCTACTAGTTCAAATGGCCAGCTCGTGGTACAAGTGATGCCGTAAGCTTTGGCACTAGCTGGATTATATCGCAAGTACCTAGATTTCTTCTTTCACATTGTGGCGTCGTTCTCCCAGGTGGCCAGCATCCAGTGGAGCTACAAGGCCACTGATGACATTGTCAAGGTGGAGGTCTGGGATGTGGTCGACAAAGGCAAGAAGCGAAAGCCCATCAAGGGTCTGAAGCTGGACAACTCGATCGCTGATGCTCAAGGGGTGAGCGATTGTAGTGATGTTTAATTCAGCTCGTCAGGCTTCTTGTGTGCCAGCACTCAAGAAGCCCCGCCATTTTCGTGAGCAAACGCAGCCCCACACTATGTGATGTGGAGCAGTATTGCTTTTGCACGGTGAATTGTTGCGACATGTAATAACATACAGTTCGACAATACGCATAAAAGCACTTTGCATGCATTTTTATGCAGAAAAAGATGTGTCAAGGTGGAAACAACACTAGGCAAGCTTTCTGGTGTCTTTAAAGCCAACTTTGAAAGACAGGGGTGGGTTAGGCAAGTCAAGTCAGCTAAGATAGAATTGCACAGTGCTCTGTTGTGCAAGCTTGTCGCAAACAGTATCTGGTGGCCCTGTTCAAATGTCAGTCTCACATTTGCTTGTGTATTTTGGGATTTGTACCCTTGCCTTCTCAGGATTTCCAGCTTGCTATGTTTAGTGCAGTGTTGTAACTTCACTTACTTTCAATGTAGAAAGTTGTGTAGCATAGTACTCGATTCCCCCAGCACTATAATATCCCAGTGCGAAGTCTCAAGGGCTGTTGCATTATAACTATTACAGTAGAGAGTATTGTACTTAACTATGTGAAATGAAAAATAATGCGGGGGTGCAATAGTTGCACCAATTTGATACAATTCACCATTTTTGTGCCTAGTAGCGCCAAAACCATGAAACTCGCCGAAATTACGTCACACTGAGTCAAAATGCCTGACCTGCCTCAAAATATATTTTCAGTTGTGCCAATTTCAGTGAAAAATAGAGGCCACGTTGGCCACATGTAGTTTGCGTCATCAATCAATCCAGGATCCAGGCATGCATACGAACCCTAACCCATGGTGTAAGATACTATACCGTATTTTCACGCATATAACCTACATCAAAATTCTAAAAATTTTAGTGGCCAAGTGTGGGTGCGGATAATACGCAAGGTTTTTTCTATAGTGCTGCTTCACAGCAATGCGTTTTGTGCCTTGAAGCCTCTTAACAGTGTAGCGAAGGTTACGGAGGCGGTTTCCACAATCGTGTTGCTCCGCAAGTAGTGTGGCAGCTTGTGGCTGATTTTGGTTTTGCTTCCTTGCATTGTTGAAGCATTTAGAGAAACATTTGGGAAGAGACAATTTGATTGTTCATTTTAAACCTCACTGTCACATTATAAATATTTTTTTCGACGTTTGTGGCTGCACAGTGACCCTCCACCACGCTTCACATGTCCCTACGTCACAGACGTCATGTTTACTTTGGAAAAGGGTTTGCTGAAAAGGTAGTGCTGGTGTCTAAGAAATAAAAAGAAAAGAAAGGCATTTTTGCAAAGTGAACAATACCCCTGTCTTACCTACGACTTCCTGCAACCGCTTGAGTTCCATAATGAATAAAGCATTATAGTCGAACCAACATATATTGAATTTTCGGGTATATCGAACGGTATCTTTAACCGCCTTCGGATATATCGAACACCGCATGAGCTGGAAAGTGCGCTTCAGCGCTTGCCCCTGGCCCCCCCCCCCCCCCCCTCGCGATCTCTAGGCAGCGCGGCTCCGCGTGTGAGTTCGAAGGCACCCTTTCGGCACTCACAGCAGCGTCCAGCGACCTCGGTGCCGCAGCACGCCTCCGCCGAAACCCGAAACGCTCGAAAAAAGGTAAGGGTGAGAGGGCTTGAACTGCGCAATCTCGAACTTGCGAAACGGCTTTTTTTTTCGTTTCTTTTTCTCTCTCATAATTTTTCCGCGTCAGCTTGGAGAGCAGCAATCAAGGAGCCGACGTCCTCCTCTTTTCGCGACATCTATTGAAAAGACGCTGGAGATGCGCACCTGACAATTCAATCGCCGTTCTATGCCAGAGTATGCACAAACACAATCACTCTGCTCCGATGACCTGCGCGAGACTATCCGAGTGATCGTTCGGGAGGAGCTGCGCAAGCTGTTACCCTCGGCACAGCTTCAAGCGGACTCGATCGCCGACATTGTCCGCGAAAAAGTTCGGCAATCGCTTAGAATTTTTGAAGCACCGCAGCCTCAGCTGCAAGCAATGAGCTACGCTGCTGCAACCCGACGCTACGCTCCCCCTACACGCCCACGTCAAGAACCCGCACCGTCGCAGTTCCGCCAGTGGAGGGACATGTCCGTAGAGTCAATGGGGACAGCAATTTGGAAGCGATGGTAGCGCTGTCTGGGTTTTGTAGGGAATCGTAAAAAGATTGCACAATGACTATTTTACTAATAAGTGAAAAAGGCTTCGTTACCTTCCTCACATAAATATATTTTTTAACCAAATATAACTAAGAATATTGTATGTATTATTTATAATTGTTTATAAAATGAAATAGATTTCAAAAGCATCAGGGTGTTTCGATATGGCGGCTGGCCTTCGCCATAGCAGACGACATCGTCGTCATCTGCTACTTTGTCGTGGCTGACCCCCGCTCGTAGCAGCCCCCTTTCTCAATTTCTATCATTTCCATATAGTACATTGCAATAAACTGTGCAATATAAGCTCTTAAGTATCTTGCATACTTACTTTAGTAAGTTGTGATGCCGCATACAGGCCGAGCGAAACGACAACACTGGTCACACAAGCTTGCAACAATAAATCGTTTTATTTCAAGTCAATCGATCGATGTTTACACGAAATAAAGGCCACGTCAGTAACATTTTAGCACATACAGCAGTGAACAATGTGCATGCATCAGCGTTCATGTACAAAGAAGGTATACGTACTACGCATAGCCCTAACGCAGATGCCCGGAGCACAGAAGCTGTCCAGCGCTGGCTGATATATCCATCGCACTGCACGAAACCTTTGCTGCAGTAAGTAAAAGCATACTGCTTACGTCTCTGCACTTGTGTAGCTCAAACTTTCTGTTATTGGTATCAACATAATTGCGTGCCTTTCACGAGCAGTGCGGCGAGACTGTTTGTTTCGTGGTCCGCACTGCCAACTAAAGTGCGTCACTTTCCAATTTTCTACACGTTGGCACTTAATTTCACGTTGGCATTTAATTTCACGTTGGCATTTAATTTCAGGCTCTGAATGCCTGAAATTAAATGAGGAACGGTTTTTTATGCTTACTATTCTGAAGTCTTGCAAATAAAATCGTCGAAAGAAAGGCTTCGTTCTGTTTCGTTTACCTACGCCGCCAGGTGCGCTGTCGTCGTTTCGGTGGTGGCGACTCCTCATGCTGTGACCGCGAAGCTCGCAACATGCCACGGGCCTGGTTTCGTCACTAGCCACCGCTGCCGTCGACGCCATACTGTCCACCACTGGCCAGTGTAACTCTCGGAGAAAAATCGACGTGTGGCCTGCTCCCGACCACCGACCTCTCTGCTACCACTGCGGAAAAGCTGGCCACACTTACCGCCGCTGCCAGTACCGCCAGATGATACTGTGTGGTTTCGCAATTGACGCGCTGCGTCCACAGCAGGGGGAAAGGCCACGTGACATCGCTGGCTACTTAGCAGCAGAGTAGCGGAGGCCCTGAGGATCTTCCCGTTCGCTGTCACCGGGCCGCTCTCCTCACCGCAGGTCATACATTGGCCCATCTCGGGGCCGGTTGCCTAGCCCGTACTCGGAAAACTAAGGGCAGCAGCCGATAAAGGTGCGGTTGCTGTACGACAAACTGCCGAAGATCCTCCACCGCCGCCACTGCCGCGACGAAACCGCAACGTCAACGTAGCTCTGACGTCGAAAATTCGTGGCCAGAATACGACTTGATGACGCAACGTCCAAGCAGCGGTACAAACCGCCGCAGGCGTGATCCGATGCCACGACCCAACTGCAACGCGAGACGACGAACTAGTGATCTCGACTGAACATTCGAAGGCCACCTCGTCACTGCTCTCGTTGATACTGGAGCCGACTATTCCGTCATCAGTGGGACATTCGTCGCGAAGTTGAAGAAAGTTAGGACAACTTGGGAAGGCCCCGTAATCCGTACAGCTAAAGGTCACCTAGTTACGCCAGCAGGAACCTGTACAGCCAGAGTCAGCATTAACCGTAAGATTTATCCTGCAAGCTTCGTCGTGCTACAGCATTGCTCGAGAGATGTCATGCTTGGTATGGACTTCTTAAGCCTCCATGGTGCTGTCATCAACCTTAGAACAAAGTCAATAACACTATCCATAGAAAATGCACTGCCGCCTCACACGCCGTCAGGAAGGCATGCCTTGAATGTGCTGGAAGACTAAGTCTCTATTCCTCTTCGCTCCAGCGTCAGCATTTCTGTTGGTACTCAAGAATCAACAAACATGCAAGGCGTCGTTGAAGGCGACCAGCACCTGTTGATCAACCGCGAAATTTGCGTTGCCAGAGGAATAGCCAAGCTGCGAGGAGGGAACGCAAGAGTGATGCTCACAAACTTTAGCAACGAGTTCAAGCACGTGAGCAAAGGCATGACGGTTGCCTACATCGAAGAGATATTGGAAGCCAGCAACGCTTTTGCCCTCACCGATTTTGCCGATTCTACTCCGACAAGTGAAACCGTTCAACCAGCTTTCGATGTTAATCCGAGCCTTCTGACGCATAAACAAGAACAGCTCAAAAACCTGCTCCTGAAATACAAGAACTGCTTTTCTTCGTCGTCGACCATTCTATAGACCCTTGTCGCAAAACATCGAATAGTAATAGAAAAAAATGCCAGGCCACTCCGTCAAAGTCCGTACAGAGTTTCGACGCCAGAACGCGAGGCCATAAAGAAACAAGTTGACCAAATGCTCCGTGACGACATTATTCAGTCTTCGAAGAGTTCATGGGCGTCACCGGTGGTGTTTGTAAAGAAAAAGGGTGGGGCACTATGCTTCTGCATTGACTATCGCCGACTCAACAAGATAACGAAGAAAGACGTATACCCTCTCCCCCAAATAGGCGACGCCCTTGATCGACTCCACAACGCCAAATACCTTTCATCGATGGACCTCAAGACAGGCTATAGGCATATCGAAGTAGACAAGAGAGACCGAGAAAAAACTGCGTTTATAACACCAGACGGCCTCTTC